GCTCTAATTCTCCAAATGTTTCCTGCGTGTTTTGCTCTGCACTCTGCAGCGCACCAAGGAAACATGGAAACACAGAGCTCAGTCCTTACCGAGCCGCAGCTCTGCCTAGAACAGCAGACAGGCTTGTGAGCACATCCCCATGTCACCACGAGTGGCACAGGAATAGAAGCATGTAAGGCGTGTTTTCACCTCTCTGAGGAGCAAGCACCTGCCCCGTGTGCGGGCAGGCAGGGAGGGCTCCGGAGGAGGGCCATGTGCTGACCAGAAATAAAACAAAATAATAGCTACTTTTATTAAATGCTCACTCACTGCCAAGCCCTTTCATCCTATGAAGAATAACAAAGACATGGAGTGTGGCCTGGGTAGGGGAAGGGCCCTGGCGGGGCCGGCGGGGCCTGAGGTTCTAGTTCAGTGGTGCCCTAGCCTGCAGTCTGACACGGGAGCAGTTAAAGGGCATCCCTTTGCAGCCATTCCTTTCAAATGAGATTGGACTTGAAGGTAGGGTTCTGTCATAAATTTTCTATCAAGTATCTTGTCTAGAGAGACAAAATGAACTCAGGAAAGCATGAAAGAACAGTGCAAAACTGCACGGGTAACCACAAAGTTGGAAAGTACAGTAAAGGGTCCAGGAGCCGAGAGACAGGAAAGTTTGGGCTGAGAAACCCCGGAGTGCTTCCTGGAAGAGGAGAGCTCTGAGCTGGGCCGTGAAGGATAATTAGAATTGGGGCGGCGCGAGAGGAGGAGGACACCGAAGTGGAGGAAGAGTGCAGCCTTGCTCTGAGGGTCAGTTTGAGCCTGTCATCCCCAGGCAGAGCGGGCTCTGTACGGCTGGCCCCAGTGCCTCCCCGGCCCAGTCACCCTGACACGTCTCCCTCCAAGAACCTCACCCTCCTGCACCCTCAGCCCACCTGCTCCCTGAATCTGCCCCACAGACACAGGCTGCTGCCTGAATTCCCTTCATCGACTGCTCAGTCTACATTTTTCAGTGCCCCCTTCCCCACTTCCTGCCTTCAGAATTAAAGATCCTTTTCTCTTTCTTTCTGAACTCTGTCCTATTTGCTTAGGGTCACACATGGACAGATCCTCACCCACTAAACTGTAGACACCTCAACCGTGGCTTACTTGTCCCTGTGGGCCACACGACACTGATGGCTTGTGCTTGGCAAATGCCAAATGAATGAATGCATGAATGAATGAGCTGAAGTCTGGTCATAGAAAGGGAACTTTGGCTACAGGGGACCGTGAACTTGTGGCAAGAGGCGTCAGATATGACCTACCTCAGAGAGTGGCCTATACTGCTGTGGGCGGAGCTTCTCAAAGCTGGAAGAGCTCAGATGTCATCTAGCCCCCAGTCTGTGTCATCTGAACCCTCCATGGCATTGCAGATGGCAGGCCAACCCCCACACAAACCTTCAGGGAGGGGACGCCGCCGAGCATGCTGCAGCTCGAGCACGTTGCCCAAGTGCAGTGGGAGGGATGGAGGCCGTGGAGCCTGAGTGGCCTGGGCTCAGATTTCAACTCTGCTATTATCCCTATGCCCTTATGCAAGCCCCTTAACCTCTCTGAGCCGTGGTCACTATCTTTTGTAAAACGGATATAATGCTACTTCCTTTCAAAGTTGTCATAAGTACTACAGAGAATATAAAAACAAAGAACAAAAACCCACCACCCACCAGCTTGTGAAAGGTGATTAATGAATAATAGCTAATTCTGTTTTTATGACATATGATCCGTTGTTACAAATGGCTGAGGAAAATGTTGTGGAGAGTTCAAAGGGAGTTCTAAGTAACAGAATTTGGGTTTAAACATAACGGTCTGTCATAATTAGGGTCACACATGGACAGATCCTCACCTATAATAAGGGTCACTTATTATAGGACTCATTAACAGTCTCATATGAAGATGATGTGCCAAAGATGTTCAGGATCAGGGGTTACCAAGCTTTTCCCACAAGGACATACCCCGTGGAAAATACTCACAGTGACACACTTGCCGCCTCACAGAGCCCAGTGCAGAGATCCAGGAAGCTGCAGAGGTTGGCAGCCTGGGAGAGATGACCCAGAAACGGTGTTCAAGGCCAGTGTATGCCTGTCTCAGTCCTAATTCTGGAAGCAGGCAGAGGTAGGAGCAGAGAGTCCACGTTTCTCCCATTGCATTTGAGAGCTAGGTTGTTACTGGTTTGGCTACTGGGAGTTCCAGGCCAAGGATTCGGGCCTCATCTCCCAGGCCGGGCTTTGGGCCTGAGGAGTGGGAGGGAGGAGGAAGCCTGGAGCCTTGGGCAGGTAACGGTGGCCAGAGCCCCAGGTGTAACCTGGGCCAGTCCTGGGCCTGCGTGTAGAGTCAAAATGGTCCAGAAGTCAGGTCTTAGTCACTGGCTGAACCTATGGAAGTTGGAGGAGGGAAGGGGAGAGGAGAGAAAGAATCAAAAGGAAGCATTGATGCCACACTGAGTGGGTGCCATTAACAGAGTCAGGAGGGTCTCAGTGCTTCTCCCAAATCCCCTCCTCCTCCCATTTCCCCTTAGCAGTGGGTAGCACCCCCACCCACAGGACCAAAATTCTAGAATCTCCCCAGGTTTTTCTCTTCACTCTGCCTGGAGCCTGCTCCCTCCTCCTCTGGCCAACTCCCTGTCAGCGGTTTTCAAGTCCTGCCCACCCACGCGCCCCTCTTGAAACAGCGCCCTGTTCTCCCCGCTGCTGCCGCTGCCGCTATCCTGGGCCAGGCCTCTACTTTCCTCCTGGCTCACAGCACAGTCTCAGGACTGACCGCTCCCCTTCTGTCTGCCATTCACACTCTCCCCCAAAACTAATCTGGCCACACTGGTCCTTGGCTTGAAACCCTTTGGCAACAGTTTGTTACACAGTCCAGAACTTCCCCCTAACACGGCTGGTGTAGGACCTTCTTGATCTGTCCAGCTTCTTGTGCCCTTCCTTTCCCAGAAGCTTCAACACAGCCTCCCGGAATGCCTGCAGGTCCCCGCAGGGAGCTGTGCCTCTCGCGAGCCCCTCCGTGTTCTCCTCATCCTGCCTGGAACCTGCTGCTCCCCCTCCTCTGGCCAACTCCCTGCCAGCCTCTCCTACTCCACTGCAGAACCCCACCCTGCCCCCCGCCTCTGGGGCCAGCAAAGGAGCTCCTCCTGTGTGCTCCTCACCCCCTCCTCCTCCATGGCTCCCACCGTATTGTCCTGGGCTAACCTGAGCTCCCTCTGCCTCTCACGCCTTGAGCCCAGGACCTGCTCCTACTCAGTCCAGCTTCAGAGAGCTCAGCGTCCTGCTAGGCAGACCGGAGGCCCTCAGTAAATATCTTGTGGATGAATGGGAGAAGTTGAGTGATGAGGGAATCTAATATCTGGCGGGGGAGACAACACAGTTCGGTTCTAGGACACTGAATGTGACCTGTTGGTAGCGCATCTAGGTAGAGGTCCAGGCTGCACTGGGAAGGGGATTCTGAAGCTTGGGGCGAGTGTCTCTTGAGAAAAAGTGGTCTCTCTGCTTAGACAGGAGCCAATTTCCCTTAGGAGGTCAAATGACCAACAAGTGGCTCAGAGTTACCAAACCAGCTTTATCGACTCAGAGAGCCTCAAAGCTAGAAAGACATTACAAGGACATTGTCTGGTGTAATTCTTTTATTTAATAAATGAGGAAACTAAGGCTCAGTGAGGGGAAACTAAGCCTCTAGTCAGAGGCACTAGAACCCAAGTGTTTCCACCGCAGTTCAAGCTCCGTTTCCCATCCCCCATGACCTCCTGTTCGTGGCACTCACCTCTGGTCCCTGAAGGAGGGCGTTGTCAGTGAGGAAGAGAGAAGGCACTGGAGGAACCTAACTCCACAGATGTCCATACACTTGCTCTTCCTTTCCTACGACACAGTTTCTCACGGCCCGGAAGAGAATGGACCCAGTAAAGACCTTGGGAGCCACAGAGCTTAGGCGTTGAATCTCATGCACTCAACAAACCTGTGGCCTTCATTTGAGCCACAGCTACATTTATTTTACCATGTTTTAAACAGTGTTGACCATCTACTCTCCAGTCCTCTTAACAGACCAAAATCAGCTTATTAGAAACCACAAGAGGGATTGCTGTGAACAAGGAAACTGACATATTGACTAACACAACGCAGCAGATGGGTTCATTTAGGGTAAGGGCCAACCGCCATTCACAGCAAAGCACATGAAGACTCTCCACACGTGCATATCCCAACACAAGTCCTAGCTGAGATATCCACATCATGTGTTTATTTAAAATCTGTAAGTGTTTAGACATTTCATAAGGATTTTCATCTAAAGTGATTAAGACTGTTAATCTAGCACTATAAGAAGAAAGCCCTCTGCTATCGAAGGGAGGAATTACACTTGAGGGTTCTGGACAGCAAAGGGTCTTCATCATGACAAAGTGGTAAAGGCAACTGGTATTTGACAATTGACTAAAATATACCAGGCACATTGTCTAACACAATGCTAACATATTGTCTCATTTAACTTTCATAATTCTTTAACCTCACACATAGCAGTCATTCAATTATATGGAGTGGGGCAAAAGAAGGTTTATAGTTTTAAGTATGCAAAACACCATTCATTCTTGTATTATTTATTAATTCTTATATTATTTTCTATACAAACAACTGTAAACCTACTTTTGCCCCACTCTGTGTATGTTGAATCCATGAATGACTGACTGAATGGATTGAGGTTTTTCAGTCTCATTTTTAAAAATTGGGAAAATAAGACCCATAGATTAGAATTGCCTGTCCCTGATCACTCAGTGGGAGCTAGGAGCCTGAGCACTTCTCCAAGTTATTATTGCTGTTGTCAAAACGTGCATGAACCTGGCAAGAGAAAAACTTGCACTTAGCTCTGAGGACAGGGTGCAGCTAACTGCAGCCACATTGTAGTCAGTACCACAAGCACCAACTGCAAATTTGCTGAGCTTACAGCCCTGGGTGAGGATCACGGCTTCAAGGCATGTGATGTCTCATAGCACATATGCTTTCTTTGATTCACAGGAATGAATTCAGAGCATGGACGGACATCAAGCCTGTGAAACCAATAAAAGCCAAGCCCCAGTACAAGCCCCCAGATGATAAGATGGTTCATGAGACCAGCTACAGTGCCCAGTTCAAAGGGGAGGCCAATAAGCCAACACCAGCTGACAATAAGTTCATTGAGCGCAGAAGAATACGCAGCCTCTACAGCGAACCTTTCAAAGAACCGCCAAAGGTGAGGCAGATCTTGTGGGGAGCCTGTCAGCACAGCCTAGGATGGAGGGGTTCACTGCAGCTGAGCATGGGGGCGGGGCTACTGCCAACTCCGCCCAGCGCCCAAGGGCTGGATTAAAATCCTTCCTCTTTGCAGCACTGAGTCAGGGGGCTTCTTAACGGGGACCATTGTTAAATTCAAAAGGAAAGTGTAAAAGGAACTTTACCTAAAATAGAAACAGCTTAAAGACCGGCAGATGTACGGAAAACTAGCTTCTGATTTTGAGAAGCCCAGATAAAATGTGGTGGAAGATCTCACTTGGGCCCTAAATCCCTTCGTCATAAAAGAACTGTGCTTTTGCCCACTGTTGGGGGCACCCTTGCCTGGCTCCCTTCTCGTCCAGCCCCTGCCTCCTCCTCAGCTCCAGCCACCGGACACTTTCTCACCTCCCAGGTCCCTGAACACCACCTACCCTTTCTTACTCTTTCCCTCCATAAATCCAGCCACCAGCAGTTCTCAGCCTGTCACAACACACCTGTCATGTCAGCTGTAAGGTGTGTTTTGAGTAATATGTTACTATAATAAACAGTTTGTGAATGATTTGCATTTCTAAGTAACTTACAATGGATTGAGGAATTTCCCTCTAATGACACTCCTTTGCCTTATTTGCATCCCAGAATGAGTTCATGAGAGGGAGAAGCATGTCGGAGATTCAGCTGCTGACGCAGGATCATATATGCCAGAGCTTATTCTCCGAGGTCACGTCACATGGAAATGTGCAAATACCAGCTCTCTTATCTATAACAGCAGAAAAATGCTGAGAATCGAAATAGCCTTTCCTATGCTCGTGCCCCCAAGTCTTGCACTCAGTGGTTTCCTGTTTGGTCCAGGGCTGGTTGACAGGTTAGATAAGTTACCGACCCATGTTGCCTGGACCCCTCTAGCTGCAGCAGTGAAAGTTCCATGTTTTGTGAAAGCTCTCAGCCCCCAGCAAACCAGGCCGATTGGTTACCTTATCAACAGGTTAGAGGTGAGTAAAAAGCTCTGGGCCTCAGCGAGTAAGTGGCCTAGCCTGGGGGGCCCACTGTCATCTCTGTCCGCCTTCCACAGATGAGGTAGGACCCAGGACATGGGGTTGGCTTTGGGCAAAAGAAGATTCAAAGGGAAGAAGGAGGGAAGATTGGGAAAAATAAATCTAGAGGTGGATGGGAGGTGGTGGCGTATGGAGGGATCACGCCCGGTGACCCCAGAGTCCTTGAGAAAGAGAAGGCAAGGCCATCTTCAGGAACGAGGGGGTTTTCTCCTTCAGAACTAAGGAGGGAGCTTGGGGAGAGTGGAGTGTGGAGCAGCTGCTCCGGGAAACATGGTCCAGAGAACCGGCCCGAGAGGAGGAGCGGATGGCTGGGCAGCGGGAAGGCCTCCCTGAGATGAGACTGCCCGACTCAGAGCAGCTCAGGGAGGGTATTTCTCTGAGTGCATGCGCCACCTCAGAGACAGAAACAGGACAGGCGGGCTTATGTTGAGGTTACGAACCACCCCAGGACCTTGTGGCTTACGTCAACCCAGGTTTATTTCTTATAATACGCGTCCATCGTGGGTCAGTGCGGCTCTGCCTCTTGTCACCTCTTCAGCCTGGGACTCGGGGGGACGGGACAGCCCCTGTGAGGCAAGGGAAGGGGGCAGTAGGAGGCACAGGCTGACCCTGAGTCTGCCTGGAGGTGACCCACATCACTTCTGCTCACATTTCACTGACTAAGGCAAGTCATATGCCTGCCTGACTTGCACAGGGCTAGGAGGGAGGTCTGATGTCCCCACAGGGAGGGGAAGCAGCTAGTGCAAATAGTAACATAGTCCCCTGCCGCGATAGTCCAGGGTGAGAGGTCCAGGGATCCCGTGTGACCAGTGAGAGCCCTGCGAGATGACTGATGGGGCGGGCGGGGGGGGGGGGGGGGCGGGGGCGGGGTGGAGACCCATTCCAGAAGCCCAGGGAGAACACTTTATATTCTGTGCTCCCTTGGTGTCAAATGTCATCATTGTCATTATCCTTTAATCATGTGTTCTCTCTAAATTCTCTCTCCCACTCCCTCCCCTTTTGTGTTTCTGTATTTGCGGTCTGTCTGTCTCTCCATGCAGGTGGAGAAACCTAGTGTTCAGAGCTCCAAACCAAAAAAGACCTCCGCGAGCCATAAGCCCCCGAGGAAGTCCAAAGACAAGCAGGTGGTGTCGGGCCGAGCATCCAAGAAAAAGAGCTCGGAGGGCCCCAGCGCCGCCCAACCCGACGACAAGGAGCAAAGTAAAGAGATGAACAATAAACTGGCTGAGGCGAAAGAGTAAATGTCACTGCACTTTCCTTTTATTCTTCTCCCCTCGCCCCCCGCCTTTTTTTTTTTTAACCAACCAACAAAAAAGGCCACAAAATTGATTAGAGGCTTCTCATCTGTCTTGGTCCTGAGTGTTCCAGGAGCTCTTTGGTTTGGTTTCTTTTAAGGGAGGAACCCTGTTTCAAAGACCGCATGGCATGCCTCTCCTCTGCGTGGCCCAGCTCCCAGGCCCACCCGCCCCCCGCGCCCCCCCCCCTGCCCCGCACCCCTGCCCCGGAAGCCCAGGGGGCGTGGCCCACTGGGTGCCTTCCCACGGCAGGCGAGACTGTGTGCTGGTGAGGACGGCAGGCAGGGCCCCGTGCGCGGGGCCGCTCCCAGATGGCTGCAGAGGAAATCTCCTGGTAGTGCTTAGAAATGTCCGTGGGGTGTCCTCCTCCTAGTCCTCCCCAAGGCCAGCGTCAGTGACCAATGCGGAACTGTAGGTAAATGTGTTCTTTCCCAAATTCAGAGAGTTAATGGCATCATGCGTTACAGAAGCTTAAGCTAGCCTTCAGCAGTTGACAGCATTTGTGGAAGTATTTTAAAAACAAAATACAAGAAAACCTTGGCCTTAATAAAATTAGGTGTGTCTGTTTAAGTAATTTTATCATAGAGTCTTCTGTTAGAAACGTGTCACTGCATTTAGTTTCTTATCAGTGGGCTTTAAATTGTATACGAAGTAAAAGCTATGCCACTGATGACTAAAACTAGGGCAGGGTAAAGGTTAGGTGTTTTAGGTATATTCTAGAAACCATAGGAAGGTGACAAAAATGAAGGAATTGTTTCCTCTTTCCCACAGCAGACTGCCTAACCAATGCTGCCAATTTTGCAGAAAGTTCAAGGTGTAGGGATAGTGCTTAGAACGTGACTTTCCTGCTTCTGAGAAACACAAGGCAGGAGGTAGACGTAGTGACAAGTGTGGCAATGTTTACTCTCCCTTCCTGAACTGTTCTTGCTCTGCTCCTCAGAGAGGACAAAGGACGCTGAGCTTCAGGTTATGGGAAATATCTGTGACTTAGCTAAGACTAGGAGAGTTCCCTGCTAAGTGATTAGCAAACATTTTTGTCCCCATTAATGAATAAAAGCAGCTCTCAATGAATTGTGTTGTGTGTCTGTGTGGCCAGTGGTTGGCAGGTGCTGCCTTAGCTGTGCTAGAGTTGTGTTGTAGGCATTAGTCAGAGAGTTGTAGTGAAAAGACCCCAGTGCTCGTGAGGGAACCCAGAATACCTGCCAGAGAAAATTACATTCGCACACCTGTGACATGTATATAGCTTGGTGTGCTTTATTTCTCCTGTCCTTGAAGTGCTCCCTGTTGCCAGCATTTGGAAATTGCTGGGCAGTCATGTGATGCCAAGCCTCTGCGCAGGCTTCCTTTTCCTTTGTGATGTGAGTAGTGCAGAGTGCAGTTCGCAGAGTTCCTTACCTCAGACCGTCCTTTCCTTCCGTTTGGAGGAAGCAGAGCCTCCCTGTGCTCTCTGGTATTCAGGGCATTCAAGTGGCCAAGTCTCTGTTTACACTGTTTTGTTTGTCACCTTGGAACTGAAGAGTGTTTTGTGGATTCATTGAGCATGGGCTGTGCGGGCTGTATTTCTTAAGAGAACAGGACTTCTAAAAATGAAGCCCCCAGCCAGGCCCACTGCCATGTTCCTTCCCGTCTCCGGGTATGGAACTGTGAGGAAGGAGAAGCATTGAAGGAGGCAGAAAATCTTAGTGAGGTTAGTGTTTATGAATCACAGACTTTGATGCCTATCTGTAAATGACCAGAGTTGGCCTCAGTACTGATTCCAGCTATTTGCCAGTTCATCTTAACATTAACCAGAATACTCTGTCAACATGATCTTAACTTTATCCAGAGAATTTGCAAATATATGTTCTTTCTCTCCAAATTTGGCGTTAGACATGTGGATGGTAGCCACAAATTTGGATTTCTCCATAGCATAGTCATATATTTTTTGCTGATAAAGTAAATCAAATTTTACAATGGTAAAATTTGGAGACCATTCATGCAACATTTATTTATTGTATGCCTGTGTATCAGACACTGTCCTAGACATGGTGGGTCATATAAATAAATCCGTCTAAACAACAGCACAACCAGACAGTTACGTGTGACTTGATCCCTGTGTCTGATTCAGGTTTGTGTTGCCGGAACTGTAGAGTCTGCTACCCACCTGGCATCCCCAGGGACTAAGTTCCCCCTCCTTGCTGCACCTAGAGGCTTGAGATGACCTGCATAAAGTCTTCCTCAACCCTCAGGGTCCCCAGCTTTTTAACACCTTGTTTGCCGTTCACTTTGACTCTTGGATGTGTCACTTCACTGGCAAGAACATTCCTTTGATTTCTATTGTTTACAAATCAAAGTCAGCCAGTCCTGTTCTGTACCCCGGGCATACAGATGGAAACTGTTTTCAGTTTCACAAGCAGTGTTTATTTTTGCCTTTCCAAAGGTGACCAAGCTTCCAGTGCCTGTCCCGCCCATTTGTTTGTATATTGCCCTATGGTTTCCTCAACTCCCCTGGCAAGAGAGCGAGGACCGAAGCTTTCCCGAAGTCTGCCTCGCTGGCCCGCCAAAGTACTCCCTGAGGCTGGGCAGTGGCTCCCGCAGCCCTGGGGTCCCCACCGCGCCGCTTGGTCCCTTACACTTTTGCCTCTCTGAGGCAGACAGGAGTGTCTAATCACGATTTTGTGGCCTGGGTTTTGTTGCATACCACAGATGGTCTATGTAATGTGTAGCGCACACCTCTCTTGGTGCTATTTCATTCCTGCTGTTAGTAAGAAAATAACAAAAATATTCATGTATAGCCAATTGATTGTGACGTGCTTGTGGTCTATGCCTGCTCAGAACAAACAAACAAACTAACAACCAGTTTTTCCAATTATAAATAAATGCTAAAGACGAACACCATTTTCTTGATCTTATTTCCTTGGTAAGGCCCAGCTGAGTAGGTGAAGGACCAACCTTTGCCACTTGAGCCTCTCTCCATGAGAGCAGCTGTGCCCTGCAGTTTTTCGGGGTTCTCCATAATGCAGCTTGACTCTTTTAGATTGCCTCTCAGACACTAATTGCGAGCAGTCAGAGCTAAGTGTTGGGAAAGGCGAAGATGGACCGGGAGACCCACTGGCCAACAAGGTAGTGTAATGTTTTGATCCCGTGTTGCTGGGGACGAGTGGTTGCCGGCTTCAGCACCTCCTCGCCAAGCTGGGAGACTGGGCCCTGACTCCCTGACCCCTTCCCGTCAACCAGCAGGACTGTCGGTTCTGGCTTTTTCTTCTCCCAAGGGATGGCAGAGATGTCTTCACTTATTTAATCTGGTCATTGTGGAGACTCCACCCTCTGGGGGCTGGCTCACTGTGTGGATTACAGGGATGACCGTCTTTTGTGCGCCTAACATGGGGGTGCGGAAACAGCCATAAGAGAGGTCCAAATAATGTGACAACAGACCAGGTAGCTGGGAGCTCAGGGGTAGGGAATCAGAAGGCTTCATGGGAGAGGGAGCCTTGGAGAGTGGGTGGGAGGTAGGCACGCAGGAGGGGCTGCCCTATAGGCAGGATTGCAGGTCTGGGTGGGAACCTCAGAGCTAGGGCTAGGTTTGCCCACTTTGCTATCCTTCTGCTAAAGGGGAAGGCAAAAGATCCTATGTGGCGTCCTTCTTCCCGTTTTCGCCATATGCTAATTGAATACCCACTCTGTGCTAGGCACTGTGCCAGGCACTGTGCCAGGCACTAAGAAACCGGGATGACTGAGTCCCCACCTCCGATCAGAGTGGGGCAGGCGGGAAGAATTTGTTCTAGCTGGTTCTGTGGATCAGGGAAGACCCCAGTGGGTGGGCAGGTGATGACCAGGTGGCCAAGGCCTGCCAGACAGAGGGAGTGGCACGGCAAAGGTGTGGCGGGGTCCAACACCAGGCGAGCTCAGGCCCCGGGGGAGTAGTTCGCTCAAGGAGGGTCAAGGCCAAGGCTGGCCACTGGCAGAGCCTGCCGTGGAAGGGCCGAGTGCCATGCCAGTGGGGAGTTGCTAACCGGGACTTGCATTTCATCCACCCAGATTGCACCCCACACCTTTGCATGCTCCCTGCCATCATGCTTCTCACCCTCACCCACACATCGGGCAACAACCACGGGTCCTCTCTTATGTTAGGCTAGGAGCTCTAGGCTGGGACTTATATTCTTTTGCTGATCCCGAATTTCTGGGTGTGAGGGAGGAGGCTCGGTAGGAATCAATTAAGGGTCATACATATGAAAACCACTATATATTTGTTTTCTGGATTAACAGAAAAAGTTACGCCCTCCTGCCTGCTTTTGTATGAGGCAGAAAACAAAAAATTATCTGTTTATTATAGGAACCTTCCATCAAAGTATGTTAAAATATATTATCCAGCCACTTTTGATCAGTTAAGGATTGTTTTGATCAAAACCAGGGATTGAGAGAGTTGGAAAGACAAGAGAGAAAGAGAGAAGTAGAAATAGAAGGAGAGAGAGAAACACATAAGTACAGACACAGAGAATAACCTGAGAGAAGGTGAGACACACTCAGAATCAGAACGAGGACAAGAATCCAGCAACGAAGGAGGCAGGCCGGTGGGCGGGGAGCCTGGCTGGCCCCGTCTGCACTGCCCGGCGGTCAGGGCTCGCCCGCAGCCTTCGCCTGTGCTCCTCACCACACTCCCTGCTGTCGCCTAGAGCCCAGGGGGCGAATCTATAACTCATTACTAATATCACCTTGTGAACATAGCAAACAAAATTAAAATCAGCCCTCTAGTTTTTAAATAGTTCATTATTACTAAATTAGTTACAAGCATTTTTAAATTCTTCCTTAGTGTTTGTGTGTTCTTAATGAAATTCTTCCCTCTTTTTTTTTTTTTTCACTTGGGTTTAAAAATTTATGAACTGCTTCTTGCAGATTTGAGGAGTGTCAAGTCCCATTTTGCAAAGGCTAGGAACTCCCGTAGTGAGTCTTCCTGCTGAAATGT